TCTTCCAGGAGTATGGGTAAAAGAGAGTTTTGTTCCACCCACAAAAGTAATTTTCTGGGTACTATGGGGGGGAGAGGGGGGAGAATTAAACACTGTGTCTTGAGAAAAGGCACCCATTGGCACAGGTCTGATTTTTGTCACTGGGGGTTCTAAATGTTATCATGACTGGACAGTGTCTTAACAGAGACCTTGGAGCTTAATTTCTCACGCTGCCCATCATTGGAGAAATACGCTCTCCTTGTCCCTGTGAACGACTCCTCCTCTGTGTCAAGACTGAAACAGCCCTGGGGTTACAACCTACACAGCTTACTAGGAAGGAAGACTTAAAGACTGTGTTTAAGATCTCAAATGTCTTGTGGAGTTTTGTGCTTTTTAAAATTACAATTATCTCCTTTGGCTCTTTATTTTTCTTCCCTCCTCCCCATCTGTTTTTCCCAGCTGGAATCAAAGAGAATTGGCAACATATCTTTATAGGCAATTCTCAATTTGGGAACTGCTGCTTTATCATAACTTAACTAGGAATTTACTTTTAAACATCCTAGTGGGGCCAGGCCTCCCCATGGGTTAGTTTTAACCAGGTACAGTTGACTCCACTTGAACTTGCCTGCATGATTTCTGGTTTAGTTCCTTTGAAAACAGAAATAGATGCAATATCAAAATTAGAGATGCCTGGGTACAAAAGCAGAATGTGACCACCCATGTCATGGGGCTGAAATGGGTTGACTGAGCACATGATCTACCAGGATTCACCCCATACCCTCTACATTTGTATTTCTCCCAGAGCTGGTGTGAGGTGTCACAGGTCACAGGGTACCCTACCTCAGCTCTGGTCACAAGGATGCGAATCAAGGTCTCTTCATCAGTTCCAGCTCCTTCCATTGACTTGTTCAGAAGTGTGGCAAAGTAACCTGGGCAGTCTTTAGCACAGCTGACTAGAGAAAACAGTAAGAGGCTTCATTACACTTGTATATTTATACTTTGCGGTACATCTTCAATGAGAAGGAAGTAAATAAGGAAGAAATAAAGGAAACTCTCTAGGGTTTATGCGCAGACATATGAGCTAGTAGGGCTTTCATTCTGTGACTGGTCCCCTATCAGTATGCAGGGAGAAGGCTTGGGGGCTGAACGAGGGCATACATTTCTCCACGGGGAAAGCATTTTACACAGTGAGATGATCAGTGCTGAGTACTCTGCCGTTCCACAGTGAAAATTAAATGAATGAGAAAGAGCATTTACCCTTCTGGAGTTCCTCTTGCCCATCTATTCTTGGGGTAGCTGCTCATTCCACGGTTCACAAGGGCAAGATTTGGGAGTGCAGATCCAGATGGGTAACAGCAATACCAATAAGCTAACCAGAGCCAAGGCACAGGCTTAAATACTGGTCACAGTCATCCCCAATGCTAAATTGCTGTCGAGGACCCCGTACATTTTTGTGGTGGCTGGCTAGCATGCTTCCGCTGATGCCCAGGCATCTGCTGGAAGTTATCAACAGCCATGGCCTTACTGGCAGCTTGGAGGTGGCCACCCTGTGTTAGAGGGCAAATAGTTAAGCTGCGTGGAGAGATGTGTCTAGCAAGTTCTATGTCTAAAACCAAGGGGTCCAAATAACTTCTGAAAACTGGCTCTTCTTTTCCTGGCAGCTATGTCAGCTCAGTTTAGGGCTATCTTGATGTCTGTTACCAGGCTGTACACAGACCCCCAACAACCAATGTCAGATGATGGCAAGAACTAGAAAAGAAAGATCTTGACACTTTTTTTTTTTTTACCAAGAGTGAGATAAGCCTTCTCCAGATCTCCAGATGTTTCGCTTTTAATGGATTCTTCTATGTCCTTCCCACACACCTATGAGGACCCAACAACCAATGTCAGATGATGGCAAGAACTAGAAAAGAAAGATCTTGACACTTTTTTTTTTTTACCAAGAGTGAGATAAGCCTTCTCCAGATCTCCAGATGTTTCGCTTTTAATGGATTCTTCTATGTCCTTCCCACACACCTATGAGGACAACACAAAGGAGCCATCAGAGCCACTGTCTGTACATGTCATCCCACTGCCATAAAACCAGCATCAGGTTTAGGATCTAACAGCAAAATGCCAATTCAGATCCTTTAGAGCCTTTCCAAGGGAATAAGTCAAGGGCAAATGAAGTTCTCCTCTGGTGTAAGTGCTCACAGATCCACTGGCACCAAGAGAAGAAGGTCTATGTGGCAAGGTAAGGCACAATGGTTAAGAGATGGACAACCTAAATCAAGCAGTCCCAAGTGTCTGAGGGCTTCTAGGACAAAGAAGCTGCAGCTTCTTCTTGAGTGACCCCTACTCAGGAGAAACTGTTCAAGCTTCCTCTAACCCCTCTGTCAAAGGCTCTGGATGGCTCCCACACAAATAAGATAATTTTTGGAGCTTTACCAGCTCTATGAAGTTTTGTTACTTATTGTCTTTGGCTTCCCAGGGAAAGTTTACAAGTACTGCAGTTGTTCCCAAGTTTTTGTATTATTCTGTAGGAAAAGGGGAAAACAGACTGCCACTTCAAAACAGAGTTTATCCTGACTTTTGTGAACTCTGTGAACATCAAAGCCTTTTACTTTGCTCTGTTTTGCCTATCAGGATGGCCCTGCATAGCTCAAGACTCTAGTGGAGTTCTAGGTCAGAGCTGGGAGGCCACGGGCACAAGGCGGGAAGGGGTAGCTTCTGAGGATTTGGGCTTAAGTTCTGCAAACCCTCAACCTGGTTTAGATCTGGTCCTATTCATCCTTCCAAATGCAGAGGACTGATGCTTGTGTGGCTCTAATCTTGTCCCACTTCTACTTCAAATACAGGCAGGATGTGGTAGATTGGTTTGGGCAACCTGATCTGCTTGGCTTTAGGAATCAAAAAGCTAAGGTAGCTTGGCTATTGGAGTATTTAACTGAACCCCCAGGGTTTGGGCCACTCTGAGAGAGAGAGTATCGGTTAGTGGCTGGTTTTGTTCTTGTGCCAGCAACAAACCAAAACTTGGATTAAGCTGCAAACAATTTTCCAACTATGGGTTCCTTATTGTGCTGACACTGAACTATGGCCTTGACTGGAATTTTTTGCATCTTCAGTGCATAGGGCTACAGTTTTCTGATGAGCTCAGAGTCATCCTAGGAAAGTTCAGGACTATGAGCCAGAGGCTGGAGGGGTGACGCTCTCCTGAGAATCAATGTCTTTGCTGAGGTTCCACCACACTGCTAGGAGAAGAACCTTGGATCTCCCATTGCTTTGGTTTTCACAGGTCATTTCCAGGTGAGAGGTCTCAGTGGAGGTAGGTTCCAGGTCCAGGCATGAGTAAAATGTCCCTGATGGATGACACAGGGAGAAGTACCAGACAGCTGTAATCCTGCTACCTATGTTGCCTTATGCTTGGAGACAGGGAGGGTGCAGCAAATTACCCGCACAGGCTGTCTGCCCAGCATGGACAGAGAGGAAGAGGCTGGAGATGCACTTTCAGTACTTAAAGGGGGCTTATAAGAAAGATGGGGACAAACATTTTAGCAGCGCTTGTAGTGATAGGACAAGGGGTAATGGTTTTAAACTAAAAGAGGTAAATTCAGACTAGATAGAAGGAAGAAATTTTTTACAATCAGGGTGGTGAAACACCGAACCAGGTTGCCCAGAATGGTGGTAGATGCCCCATCCCTGGAAACGTTCAAGGCCAGGTTGGACGGGGCTCTGAGCAACCTGATTGAGTTAAAGATGTCCCTGCTCATTGCAGGGGGGTTGGACTAGATGACCTTTAAACGTCCCTTCTAACCCAAACTGTTCTATGATTCTATGATTCCATGCGCCTCTGCCCAGCCAATATGAACATGTGAAGCAGTGGGATCAGCATGAGAGACCTTGTCAGGCTCTGCTTTGGAGATGGAGAGGAAAAGAACAGAAAAGCAAAACCCTGCTTCAGACCCTTTGGCTGGTCCTCCTGCAGGAGTGGGGACACCCCCCGTCGTGCAGCTGTGGGAAGGAAACTACTTGGTGACATTTATATGGCTGGATGTTGTGCGGGTTATGAAGGGGAACAGGTTCTTCACTGGCAGAAGATACAGCTTTTATCCCCTATTTGTTTTTCCATAAGATCAGGATTCAGTCATATAGAAGTGTTTTCTCCAGATTCTTAAAGCATTCAGAAGTTTTAAAATGGCAAATAAGGGATTGCCTGCTCTACATGTTCTTGTAGGGTTTGCAGGCTACATGTCGGGCCCTACGCAACCCACATTGCAGAAGAGATTAACTCACCTTTTCATAGGCTTGAAAAGTAGCTCTCAGCTGACTGTAACTTCTCTTTGCTAAGACCACATTGAAAGCCAGCTCCTCTGTTCCCCAGCGGCCTTCTCCTGCCTTAAAGATTGCATGTTATTTTTTTGAAGCGCTTGTTTATTCACAGCAGAGACAAAAAGTCAGCCAGAGCCCTTGGTCCACCAAGCTCCAGCCCGTGCCCCCCTTGCTCATCTCCTTACGCTGCCATAGCCCCCGTCCTTGGCATGTCCAGGCACCCCTGAGGCAGCCCTTGCTGCGCAGCATGGGACAAATGGGGATTTTTCCACAACTGCACTTACTTTATAGAGATCTGTGGCATCTTGCTCAGCGAGCTCTGCGTTGACCTGTTGGGTCTCATCTCGGGTTGCCTACAGGAAAGGACATGACAGTAGAAAAAACAGACCAAGTGCTGGTGACATTTGTTAGCGGAAGGGAAGATTGTCAGCTCACAAATATTTTGGTTATAGTTTTGCTGCCATCTGCTGACAATGCCTAGTGAAGGGGCACGGTGGGACCTGGCGGCACAGTTTTGAATGGTCTGTTCATGTTTACCACAGCCCCTGGTTTTGCTGACTTGAGAGGTGAAGCCTGTATAGGTAGGGTTTATCTCCCAGTTTTATTTGCTGTGTGCTGGGACTCTTATGAGGCTGCAGCTCTGATGCCTCTGGAGTAGGAAGGGACTATGGGGGCTGGGCGGCTGCACTGCATCAGACCATACCCTGCGGATGCTCCCCTGCGGCCGGCTGGCCCACTGGCCCCCTCATCCCCAGCCTCCTTGCCATCCCATGGGTGTTCCCACTCCCCCAGCCAACACGTCTGGAGCAGAAAATAAAATCAGAGGAAAGCCTGATCTGAGTTTGGATTAGCCTTGCTTTGAGGAGGGCTGGACCAGAAGAGCTCCAGAGGTCCCATCCCACCTGGCTTCTTCTTTGGTTCTGTTTTTCTGCCATTTTTGGCAGGTATTTTTCCACTGCTGAGAAGTGGTAGTGTGCATGGCCAGATGTTGGGATGGGAATGGGGCTGAAATGTGCAGACAGAGCTGGGTCAGGGCTGCCCCAACACAGCCTTTGGTTTCAGCCCTGCAGGGCTGTATCTATCTGAATTGTAAATTCCTCAGTCGAGACAGAAATCAGAATTTGCCTGTTTTAGACCAAATTCAGCATAATGTAGCCATGATCCTGAGTGGGTATTCTAGCCATTATCATGATAAAAATAGTAATAAAACAATGCTGTTGTCTTTAAATTATAGGGTTTTATAAAATTATTTCTGATTTTATATATCTCCTTTAGTTATATTAAAAAGGTATAAGTATATAGAATGCTCTTATCCTGAAGAATGCCTTTTGCTTATTATAATTACCTCTTTATTGTATTACATATCACAATTACCTTGTTATAAAGACCAGTTAATACTTATTATGATTACCCTGGGTAGACAGGGTAGAGGAGATCTTTCTATCAGGTCGATGTGTAAGAGGAAAGCCCCCAGCCTTACCTCTAGCACAGTCACTAATATCTTCTGTAGGGAGCCACTTGTGTCACTTTTAACATCAGACTCTAGATCCCTATCAAAGACTGTAGAGAAAAAAAATCTGTGAGGGTTCACCCAGTGATAAAGGCTTTAAACAAAGGTGTCTGAAAGACAATACTACTTACGTCGCTTGTATGCCTCCTTTATGTTTACAATTTCCTAGGCAAATAAATAAATAAGCAAATTAATAAATAAGGAAAATGGTTTATAAATAAATAAAATTAAGCTAATTTAATTAATTAATAAATAAAT